CACACACCCGTTGCATTACAAGCTCCTTGAAACTCAAACCAAGAAACTAGATTACGTTAAAAGGGGGGAAAGAATAAATAATGAAGTTACAGGAAGCAACAGGTCCCCAGTCCTGAAGGTCTGTTACAAAAAACTATTTTCTCCCAGCATTTCCTCTCAAAATGCATCATAGTTGGGTGCTAAATGACTGGAGGAAGAATGGTTTTGGAAATCTGGCCTCAATTCTTGGTGCTAGGAAAAAAAAAAAAAAAAAAAAAAAGAAGAAAAAAGGCCCCAAGAAAGTCAGGAGGATAAAAAAAAAACCCAAACACAACACAAAAAAAGCATCACATGTGATGCAGCAGAAAATGAATCCAAAACAAAATCCAACCCAGAGATCCTCCACTAACACATGCTGCAAAAACCAACACATGCACCACCAGGCCTGCCAGAAGCTGAGCGTATTTTATTAAGCCATTTTTTAAATATTTCCACCACAAAGAGGCAACGGCCGGCTCTGGGTGAGGATGTGTTCTTGTTGCCCTGATCCCCTCTGGACTCCTGGAGAAGAGCTCCAGTGCCCCATCACAGGAACTCCTGCGTGTTCAAGGAGGATGGAAGGATTCGGCTTTTTTCTCCCCCTCAACCATCCTCTCATGCTTCCTCTCGCAAACTTCCCCATCTCTCAGAACAGGCGAGGGAAATTTCCTGCCTGCTCCACGCCACATCCACAAACCCCCTTTTAGCCATCCTGAGGACGTCCTCCACAGGCAGCGTCTCCTCCAGTCAGGCTCCTTGGGGTTTCAGAAGAGATGGAATAAAGATTCATGAGAAATTTGAGAGTATTTTAAGCCACGTCCTTTTATTTTCACCACCTTCCTACACAGCATATCTACGCAATCACCACCGCGGTCGTGCCGCACGGATCGTACCGCGCTTCCAAGTTAACTCAGACCAGCAACAGCCCTGCCAACCAGGTTAAAAAGGATGATGACACTTCCAACCTACCAAGGTGGGCTGAGCGTCTGACAGCGGGACGCAGCAAGGCCCAACAGCAAGTTCATTTTCACCTGACATCTTCATAAATCACACAGAGGGAAAAAAAAAAATAAAAATCAGAGCACTAAACACTTGCGGTGGGAAACGCTGGAGAAGACTTGAAAATAAGAAACCTTGAGAAAACAGAAATATGAGCAAGAATAAGTAGAAATTAATGTCAGAAATAGCCCTCAACAGGGAAAAGCTGTTAGAGCGAAAGACAAATAGCAAGTGGGAGGATTAACATAGTCACCAAGTTTGTGTAAAGCTTTTCCTTCTTATAAACTGAGCAGAGAGCGAGGAGGGAAAGTCCCGATCCCCAGCACGCTGATGCAAACCATGTTCAACCCCAAGCTGTTCAGTATCAGAAGGATATTGGCAAATTGGAAGGCATTCAGGAAAATATAGTTAAGCAGCTGGAGGGATTGATTTACAAGGAAAGATTAAAATAACTAGACGCCTAGTTTGGCTAAGCGGTAAGGTGGACATGATAATTTTTTACAGTTGACAGGCAAGTGCCAGAAAGGAGAGGAAGTGTTTTAACATACTACAATTAGGTATAACCAGAGGATTGGCACACAATTAAGGAAATTCATGGCTGTGTTAAAGTTCTCAAAGCAGTGAGGTCTATCAGGTACTAAAATAGTCTCCCACTTCTCCATTCCCAACCAACTTCTAGGATCAGAAATAAAACACTCTTCTGAGAAAAGGCCATCCCGGCCGCAGGTAATCATTACAAACCTCACAGGTCGACTGCTGACTAGCTGCTTCCACCAGCTGAACCCACACCTTTTTTGTTTGTTTTTAACACTAAGAGCAAACAAGCACTCCAGCACTCTCCAGTCCGCAAAGTGATTACACTTGGCAACACTAATTACCCCACTCATGGCACAGAAGGTGAATATGATCTCTCACTTGAAGGAAACAAGGAGCAAGGATGTTAACTCTCCTCGTTTTCCAAACAGGAATCTGGCTGTTCAATCCACCTCCCACAAACTTCTCTACATTCAAAAACAGTGAAGTTATTCTTAGTCTCCGCTGAGAAAACCCCAATCCAAAAAAACTGTTCAATAAAGCCAGTGGTTGAGGACTGCTGCTGAATTTCTCTCCAGAAATGACTGCGTTTTTAGTGACAACTATTTTTAAAGCCGTTTGCAAAGAACTAGACAACCCCTTCAGCCCATGCCTGGTGGAAGAAAGTCCTGCCCAACAAGCACTGCAGCGAGGCAAAATAAATTGGGAAGTCCACTGAAGCGTTAGCAACATTTTTATGTTGTACTCCTGAACGTTAAACTGAAATGTTGTCTTTAGAGGGACCTGAGCAGGGAAAGAAGTGATAACTTCGTAAAGAAGATGAAGAAGAGGCGACAAAGAGGCAGAAAGAAGAAAACAGGGAAAGCTGAGCAGAACAAGGAGTTTTTGTTGTCACCCACATTTCATCTCACACCCGAACCAGCCCCGATCTCTTTGCCTTAGGCAGGTTGAGGGGCTCCATACCAACGCTTCTGGCAGTAGGAACAAACCAGCTTGGAGACGTGACCCAGGCTGAGCTCACAAAGTTGGAGCTACCAAGGGGCAAGAGATTTCACAGCGCCAGATGAGCAAGTGCACGGTGAAACCTCACCTCTCCCACAAGCTCTCAGAAGTCTGAGCTCTCCAAGTGCCCCAGTGAGATTTAAAAAACGTTTCAGACTTAGGAAGAAACTACTTAATTCTGTAATTCCTGATGTCTGCGTGTCGTCTTTTACTCGGTGCTGTGGGAGTCAAGGATGCCGAAAGCACCCCTATCCCCCTGCAGACCCACAGCCATTCACCAGCCTACACCCTCTTCCCCACCTCACCCCCATCCCCACGGGCACCTACAACCCCTCCACGACCTTTCGACATCCACACGCCACTAGGAGCCCCCCCACACGTGGGCCTGGAACTTGGACCCTGGCCTGGATCCTCCCCAGCTGCCCCAAAAGAGTCGCAAGCCACCACACTGAGCCCAAACCCTTCTTCATCCAGAGGACAAGGGTCCCAGTTAAAGGGGGTCCCCCAGCACCTGCACCTCGCGGGGGGGCCACAGGATCCCCCCCAAGGCTGCTCTAACCCCGGAGGTATCTCAGGACACCCCGTATCTCCTCAGGGTCCCCCCTGGTTCTGCACACCAAAAGGTCTCCCCCACCCCGGGGCCCCCCTGGCCTCCGGGTTCGCCCCCCCCTCAGGCACCGCCCGGGCCCCTCTCTGCTTCCATCAGCCCCTCCCACCTGGGGCGG